AGGAATAGCTGAAGAAACGAAATTTTTCACTCACTCGACTACAGAATCGCTTTGTTGAGCCAACTTACAACGCATCGAAAGTGTGTCAAATAAGGCTATCCGTCAGACAGTTGCGCCAAGAACTTGTTTTTTAGCAGGTACCCTGCTTAGAAACACTTCAAAAGTACCCTCTAGAATAGGGTGTCTCCGAACCAATACGGAACCTTGCCGTGGTCTTATCCGTAAACCATTAAATAATGGTCAAGATTTTTCTGGAATTCTCTAGACGATGAGCTGAGGGAAGCTCGCTTCAGCATCATGTTGGATTTTGAAGCATTCCTGTTTAAGAAAGCTATCGAGATCCTTGGAAAAGTGACAGTTGATAGAGCAGAGGTCTACTGAGTAAGGTTTGCAGCATCACGTAGCCGTAGCCAAGCTGGTCCAGCTTGTGCAGAATTGGTGGTGCGATGTGCGTCCAAGACACCTTTCAAAGAAGTTCCCCTTCATACTGAGGAAGGCTGGACCCATGGCTTGCAGTTTTTGGTGAACTTTGAGGTAAAGTTGAGACTGGTTTCTCACTGTAACAGTTCTCTCTCACACGCAACAACACGGTAAGCCACTGACCATATGAAAATTGCATAACCCTCCTTTAGCAAAGTTTCAGCTCAGTAAAATTTGTAGAGCTTGATCGTTGTCGATCTATTCAGCAACGCTTCATGGGCCATAGAAAAGGATCCCTTCTTCTATGCGTGCTGCAAATTAGAAGAAAAGCGAGTCGTTTTCATCACAAAACAAGCTAGAAATTGATAGAAGGACCCTTCAAATTGGTGATTTGTCGCAACCCCCCCTATCAAATTTTTTGGACTTTCCACTACTTCCGTATAGCTTGGCTCTACAAAACCATATACGTCCGTATGGGGAAGAATTTTTCAATAGTCCTCTGTACGGGCGGTTCAATCAGAACCTTTGGCTAATCGGCGGCAATGTCCGATATGCAACAACCTCTCATCACACACACGGCTTTCGCCTTGTTACAATAATTTTTTGAATTACTGCTTCTGAGCACATTCATTGCGAATACCTGCATTATTGATATCTTCAACTGTCGCTACTATCTGGTCTATTTAAAGCTAGAACATGAAAATCATGCCTACTTGCTCAAAAAAAAATATTTCAGAACAAAGATGAGCTAAGCTCTGGATAGAGCAGGATAAGCTATTCAAAATGGAGTCCTTAGGCCGATGTCAGACTTTGCGAATCGCGCGATTCGCTACTAGCGATTCGCGCGATTCGCTAGCGTCCGCGGTCGCGTTGCGGTACCAGCCAATTGAGTGATTCACTGGCCGCGACGCGACCGCAGACGCTAGCGAATCGCGCGATTCGCAAAGTCTGACATCGGCCTACCAATTTTTTTTTTCAAGCAACATCAACCATTCAAATGTGGAGTGTCACAAAACGAGAGAACTTTGTGAAAGAACAAATACATCTGCTCATATCAACCAGTTAAAAAAGGGTTGCTTTCTTTGTATTTTATTGAATGTGAACATAAACAAAATATTTTTTCTCTATGATGACTTTCAAAAAATGCATCTGAAAATAGAGAGAAGGACAATCAATAAGTATTGTAATAAAAGCAAATATTGTTCCCAGCTTAGTGAACGTTGCCTTTTTGAAATTTTATTCCCATGGTTTCCTGTCACAAATGCTGTCTTTGAGGATGAGCGCACCTTAGGTAGCATTCGATGGAAGTTCTGAACAAGGATCCACATCTAACCATGCCCTGCTAGAACTGGATGTTTTTATCGTACCACTGCTTTCATACCAAAAAACAAGTTCCGTCAGGTCAACTTATAGCGCAATCAGACTAGTGGCGGCGATTTTGCGTTGGTTTTCGAGACCATTTTCAGATGCAGTGTTCCTTCTGATATCATCTGAAAAAGAAGAGCCGATTATAAAAAAGCAATCAAATCGGGCATCAACAACTCCATCCATCAGAGAAACCTGGGGTGGCCGAGTGCTATAAACAGCTCATAACGTTCTTGTCTAGATGTGAAACTTTTCTGTCTGCTAAGTATGTGACCTCCACTTACAAGCTTTGGAAGTAACGTCTCTCTGCTGAAATCCACGAGTGGCATCTGGTCCTTACCTGACCTGCCTGTTCCACGAGGGTAGTTTGATAGGTCTTCCTTAATTCCTCGCTAGAGGGTCAGCAGTGCTAATTTTCCCTCGTGCTGCTATCTCTTTGAATGCAGGAAAGGGAATAGGTTTGCAGTAGTCCTTTTATATCGTAGTTTTTAATAGTTTCGTGAAGATAATAGGGCTACCGTCCTCATTGACTAACCACAATGTTTTCTATTGTTTGTTTCTTTATAGGCGCGTCAACTGCACGCATGAATAAATAAATAAATAAATAAATAAATAAATAAAAAATTGTTACGTTTTCAACATGGACAGGGACGTTTATTCGAAACTGGGGTATAAATTTCGTCGCGTTTTCTAGTTGGGTATTTTGATATTAGGTTGAGCGAAAATTATCCACCGTTTTCATTTCACTCATAAGTTTATTAACAAACCAAACAAAAACAACAATAAATGCGTAATCAACAAACGCTCTCGAACAGTCCTCTCTGCAACCGTGCCTTCATCCCAGGCTTCATTGATTCTACGAGCAGATGCAGAAGCATTCGGTTTCGAGCTCAACTTGCACTCATGTAGCATGAGCAACTTTTTTGCTCACGTGTAAGCTCCAGAGTGAAGTAAATACACAAGTGTTGTACATCAAAATGTACAAGAGATTATTCAGACTACATCATAACCTTTGAAATAATCAGCAAAAAGTCGAAGAGCCATGAGCCTGAAAAGAAAACGGTGGATAATTCTTGCTCAACCAAAAAGTACCTTGAACTGCTGGTTTTTTGGTCATTTATGAGGGACTGTGATATTTTCACCAGCAGTGTATCCTGTTGTTCTAAGGGTATATCTACCATATGTCTGCTGAGAGTTTTACCCACGAAGTTCTTGAAAAGGGGAAACGAATACGAACACCGGCTGGGCGAAGGCTTTGCCCATAAGTCGGCATTCTTGTGATAGCTTTGTTTGCTTTATTCGAATTCAACTATATGTATAGTAATCGCTGTAGTGCTCTCGATTCTCAAACATCATGTGAGACGTGAAAAGCATGGAGAAAAGAGTAGGTTGAGAAGTGGTGCATTTCTAGAAAGCATTTGGTCAGGTAGCCTTTGAGAGTTCGCATCCATCAAGAAACACGAACTTTGGTAAAAAAGCTGGCGCTTCCTGCTTCCAGAAGAGTGACCAACGTTTCTAGCGACAGCGGCATCACTGATGCTTAGTCTCGTCACGAATTTCGTACAATTCTTTGTGTTTTTGTCAGTCCAGTGCAGGTTCCCAATGCGAGTATCGGATATTTATAAAGCTCACGCAGAAGTTTCCAGCTTAACTTTATTCCAACCCACAACCAGAGCTCTTTTCTAAGGCGGAACTGGCGTCAAATCTTTTCCATCCTAAAAGTTACGTTTCACCCTCCCCGTTTTAAGTACCAGTAATACCAGTAATGATGCACTGAAAATGGGTTGGCGGACCTTCTAAGCTGGTACCCGGTGTCGTACCTTCCTCCTGCGGCTTGCAATGTTGGCGGCCATTGCCCTTCCTCTCCTAAATCTGGGCATGTCCCCCTTCTGCCCCTCCCCTCCCCCAAGTAAGAACTTCGTTTTGTCAATGTTTTTCTTAACCAGTATAAAGTAGTCATTAATAAATGAAAAAATAAAAATAAATAGGCTCGAACTCTGAAAGTATTAGTGGTTATCCCATCTTATTGGAACGCTGCATTTCATCGCGGACTTTCCGGAGTCGTCTCTTCTTACGATTAGATTGAGCGTTTGGATTTTCTCTACTACACTGTTCTTTTTGGTTCTCAGGATGCATTCCAAAAACCTTTTTTATTTCTTTAATAAAGGATAAAGCATTTGCCGTTGATCAATCCCTTTTGGGATGCGGCACGCATTCTACTTCCATTTGTACATTCGTAGTGGCGTTTGAATGCGATGTGGCCTATACAATGACTTGCGGGGGCCAGCCGATGTACAAGTCAGTGTTTTTATCCTCCCAGACAAGTCTGGTACCAATTAACCGACCCCGGAGGGATGGAAGGCTTGGTTGGCCCTCACGACCCAGGATTTGATCCCCGGACCGCTCGCGTGGTAAGCGTGCCACTTGCCACTACACCACTTCCGCCCTTTTCCATGATAATGGATCAATTTTTGTACAGCTACAAGGTGTACCATATATTTAAGTATCTTGCCCGCCATATCTATTGGCCAACATTGGCCCTTTAACTCATTGGCCGATGTCAGACTTTGCGATTGGAGCGATTGTGCACAAATTGCAGGAGCGACGGGAGATTTACATGGCCGACCAACGATAATTCGGCGCCATCAGCTCGTAAATGTCCCGTCGCTCGCAGCTCCCTGCCACAACGGCCAAGGCACTTATCACGGCCCGAGCGATGGATCGCTCAAGCGATCCATCGCTCCAAAGTGCGAGCGACGGGAGATTTACGAGCTGATGGCGCCGAATTATCGTTGGTCGGCGGTGTAAATCTCCCGTCGCTCGCTCAAGCGATCCGTCGCTCCTGCAATTTGTGCACAATCGCTCCAATCGCAAAGTCTGACATCGGCCATTGGCGACAATGCGGTTTTTCGCGTGTCTGCACTTGGGACCACGCCTTTTTGATATTTTCGAAAAATGCATCATAATGCAGCAAACCACCGACACCACAAATGTTGGATCTCAAAGCAGAAACGTTGAGACTTTGTCTAACGTCTAACTAACCAACTTTGTCTAACTAATGCCTCAAATTGTTGCCGATCGCTGCCAAAATGAGCGTAAATCTTTCCGTTTTGTCAAGGTGGATTTCGCGGCGACTCGGAAACTTTTCAATTTTCTACTCTAAAACCCGTAGATTGGGTCGGATTCAGACAGCAGCTTTACCTATGCGCTTAGAAATGAAAGTTATGAAGTGCTGCTGGCTGAAGTCGGGCAAAGAAACCAAGAGTACATGGGAATTGTTCCCATCAGAAAAGGAAGCTGCAACCGCCGACCTTCGAGAAACTCCTCAGGAAGCCGGTGAAATACAGGGTGCCCCAAATTTATAGTGACAACCATGATCAACCGTGAAGTTCGCGGTTTTTAAAGAAAATTCGCGACCCTCTCCTTTGGAGGATCTCAATGCGACCCCCCATCACCATCGTAAGCCTCCTCATTTGCCATTCACTCAACAAATTACTATCCAATTACCATTTGAAATCCCTTGAATGCGACCCCCACCCTTTCCAAAACCACAAATGCGACTTCCCCCCCCCTCTTCAAACAGTGCGAACGCACGGTTGACCCTGGTCACAATACGTGCGCGTACACTAACCACTGCCAGAAGCGCTGTCTGCGCTCATCTTGGTTTTGCTGAGTTGGCCAGTTCATACTTATCTTATTTGACCACCGAAATGTCTTGTTACATTGGTTCTGTCTTTGAGTTCTGCATACGAATATGTTCACGAAAACAGGAACAGGACACCATTCTTATAAAGAAAAAGCAGCGGACAAGGATGTCATCATTTGTCCAGCAAGCCACTGGCTTCACAACGGAATGACTGGACAATTTATTGTACATACGGTGTTTCTTGTGTCTTGCCTCTGATTCTCTCCAGAGCTCAATAGCTGAGGTCGTTTTACAACACCCGCACGGTTTCGGTCCAATGTTACTGCATCACCTTGTTTTTTTTCCTACAAAATTGATTTTGAAGCAAAGCGTTACAAAAAGTGTATCTGTTAATTACATAACTTGTTTCTGTAATATCTTTGGAAACCGGTTATTTTAGTCACTCAAAGGTATCAGTTGTGAAATTCCGTTATATTCCATTTAGTACCATTTCATTATACCTTTCTGTTCCTCCAATTTATGGAGACTTTGTAATCTCCCTGAAGGTGTATCCATTCGTATTGGGCGCTCATACTGCTACAAACAATCTACCGTAGTAGCATCATTTCGGGCCAGGCATCGTCTTCCGAGGTCATGCCATCATCATTCAAACCTGGAGCTCACCCTGATGCTGTGAATTCCACAGTATGGATCATGGTATGGTCTATCTTCAAACATATCGGCGTTAGACACGGGCATTGTCGTGGCAATGCATTCAAAACCGCGTAAAACGGCCGTTTTGTTAATCGAACCCAAGCCTTAGGCTCTTGGGGAGAATTTTGGGTGCGTAAACAATTCTCACTTCCTTCGAAATTTCTGCTCCTTCCAGGCTAAGTTCTATATGATGCCCCGTATCTTGCGATAGCGCCAACATAACATGTTGAAGGATTTTTTACTTTGCCCAGACTTTGAGCAGGACTAGTCACTCTTTGCTGAAGTATGATCGACTTACAATCTACTGCGCAATGGCTTTCTGCACAAACGACACTAGGACTGTCAAATTGGAACTCGTTGGGATCGCACGCTCTTCACCTTCACATGGAGTCTGAAGAACAAAACCCATGCATAAGTCGTGTGAACGGTTCTCTTCGGCCTGTAGGATAGATCTCAATAGGTACAATTACAGGTGTGGCATTCCCGCACGGAAACCACCGACAAGAGCGCTAGGGCCTTGCAAAGTGAGCTGCAGCAGCTGCAGTTTTTTATCAGGCTGTTGTCTGGCGCCTCTCATCTGTTGCGCTCTCTCGCCTCATACTCTCCTCTCCGCGCTTAGTCTCTCATTCCCTTAGCACAGCCGATTAGGAAGGTGAGTGAGCCCTTAACCTAAGCGTTTTCGACGGATTCTTTTCCTTTTTTCTTTACTGCCGGCCCATTTCGCACCAATACATTCGTATTCGTAAGAACCACACCAACTTGATCCTGGGGCTTGCTTTTAAGCCCTGCTCATACTAGAAGTCGGACCTTTGATAGATGACACAAGTGAGTATGCCTCCCTGTTTAGGCTTATCCAGGTAAATGGGTGTTTTTTCAAAAGCTGGCATCTATGAACAGATCGCCGTAATTTTGCCATCGATGCGGCCGATAACATAACCAGAAGCACGAGAATCGGCTAGCACGACAATACATACTCCTCCTTTCAAAAAACGAGAAAGCGTCGGTGCAGACCATGCACCACAAGTGACGACGGCCTTCACAAAATGTAAATGTTTTCTGCCAATGAAATGATTAGCCTGTTGCAGTTGTATTCTATCAGTTGTCACTAATTACAACTATCATTTACCAAAAATCAGCTATCACTATGAACCACTCTAACCAGATTTACTTGGAGGCCGTCGTCACTTGTGGTGTATGGTCTGCACCGACGCTTTCTCGTTTTTTGAAAGGAGGTTATATTCGACTACAGTATCGAGCATACACTTCTATTCTAGACTACATACAGGTCTTGATATTTCATCATCACATTAATAATTCTGCTACAATAAGCTCAATCCCACAACCATAACACACTCCAGCCAGTGAGAAGGCAGTGCATCGTGATCGTGGACAAAAATTGCCCCGAAGTGCATGGGCAGGAGCAACACTGCCTTGTAGCCTGAGTGTAACCAATGTGGTTAGACATCATTGACATGCTTGGTGTACATGATGATGCTCTTTTCGATTCCCTGTATGTGCATAGTAAATGTCATTGCGAATGCCCTTCATGCCCCATGGGAGAGGTGTCAGTGGAGATAGACCACTACTAAAAGGAAAATTGGCACTTAAAGGAATCCTCCACGGAAAAAGCTCCGCCCTCATTACCACAGAAAACGATACCTTAAAGGAATCTTCCACGGAAAGAGTGATCATTTTGTCTTGTGTGTAGGATTAGTATTATCGAAACTAACGCTTATGTTCCGTTCTTTTTGCTATGCTCATGAGGCTAGGGGCCTAAGGGGTATCGTTTTTCTGTGGTAATGGAGGCGGAGCTTTTTCCGCGGAAGATTCCTTTAATGGATGCCGCATACCTCTACTCTGTGAAATCCACAAAAAGTATTATCGTCGTTACAGCTCGACCTACGTGCCTGCGTCGGGACATTCAAGGCTCCGAGTCTAACCTGAGAAATTTCTTTGTGGAACACAGCGGTCAGAAAATGCTCTATAATTCAGAGTATCAAAGTCTCAATGCAAGTCCTATGTGTGCTACTAGCGGCTGACCTATCTTCAACGTCCTTTAACACGTTGACGACATCGTGCGTTTTGGCTTTCTTGGAAGCTGGAGCGAGAGCGATTCTACGAGCGCCTTTTCTATCACATGAAATCCATTTTGAATGGAGCGATTACGATAAAGAGCGAGTGCATCAAGGAAGCATGTGCACCACACAAACCAGTTACTTGGTTGACTTGCTGAGCAGGACTTCGAAAGCGCTCCGCCCCCAAAAGCGATCCGCCCACTAGTTTACTTGTTGATTTGGACGAGCTGCGTGCCAGCAGCGGCGCAAATGGAGCATCTCGATTAAAGCGTAGTTTGGCATGGTGCCATCAAACGCGTTGCGGTGAACTCGTTCATACGTCCACTTTCTTAGCTGTTACCTGTTCATGAGTGAAAACCAACGGCCAAAAAGAGGGTCCCGCCCTTTGTTGACAGATTTTCTTGAAAGAACGCTTGGCCATTCTGTAAGCCACGTGGTTCTTGGTTATGTTGATGTATGGCCTATAAAATGAACACAAAAATTTGGGAAGAAATCGGGCATGTGCGCAAAAAATAAATGTAATGGGTGTGGCATACATAGTTGCCACAATGTCCGATGAGGTGCAAAATGGCGGCATACATAGTTGCTGCGTGTGTGTTAAAAAGGGGCGGATTTGCCGAGAACACTGCTTGAACTAAGTGGTCACATCTTCATATTTCCTGTTCATGCTATTGCAGTAATAAAGCATAGGTGAATGTAAGTGGACAGGAAAATGTTCAATGACGCATAATTTTTCGATGATCCCTCAAACACATCCTTTCATCCTTACTTTCCATTCTCAATCGTTCGGACTTCAACATGTTCCAAGCTTCAATCTCTTAACTTGAAGTTTCAAGGTCAAGTCTTGCAGTTGTAGAACTGAACAATTCTGTATTTATTCATATCATCAGTATGAATCTACGCAGTTGGTCGCTTTAGATCCAGATTCTGATGCGGCTCACCTTCGTGGTGCTAAACATTACTGACAAGCTTTTGGAGAATTAAAAACTGGATTTCCAAATTTTTTGTAAATTCCATCACGGAATGACACCATTGCTGTGGTTTTATGAAGAGAACTTCATTGTCATTTTCAGGTTGGCGGAGCAATCTTACCGATAACGAGGTAAGCAAAAGCCGAAGAATCGACTAATCCCCACCTAACTTAGGAGAGCTTCTGGATTCTCTGATCGAGGTAGGTCTTATCGATCTTTTTGCTCCACTATGTCAACACTACTAACTTAGTTGGAATGTATTCTCAGAGACGGTAGCTTGTAGGAGAAGAACCGATCATTTTCTGTCGCACATGCGGACTTTTTGTGTAAGTTTTATTCGTTTTAAAAAGTCCATAAGCATCCTTCCCTCACCGAATATACTGAGGTATTTATTAATTCAGTACAAAGGACCTATAACCACTCTTACTCGCTAAAACCGAAAGAATCACTACTAAATTCAATCCCTTGCCCACAGTGGTGTCAAAACGCAGAACATCGCTATTCCTCAACATTTTTATCTTCCTCGCTCTGATTTCTGATAGTGTAGGAATTCAACTTTCTGGGTTCCCGCGAGCTGACAGCAGTCTCAACTATTCCAATGAAAAATGAGAAATCTGCCTTTCAGAAGCTGTTGCTACTACTCGGTTTTTGCTTCATTGCCGACCCTCAGCAGCTGTGTCGACGTAATGAGCGATATGCGGAATGCGGCAGATGTGAAGCAACTTGCAAGAATCCAAATACGGTTTGGTTTTTATCACTTTTGCACTTCTTCGAAAATTTTGCGACCCCCCTCTCTATGGGGTCTCGATGCCCTCTAAAGGGGAAGGGAGCCGCAAAATTTTTTAATCAAAAACTTTCCCACCACCATGAGACTTGGGAGGCTCTCCCGATACGCACCCCTCTTCCCTACTCCGACAGCCACCCGCCATCGGTTTCTATAATGTTTGATTCCGATACCAGCTGACACAGCCCTTCTCCATTTTTTCACTGTAATCGAGTTAAAGGCACACCCCAGGCAGAGTTCGTGTGAACGCTTCTCTTTGGT